GAATGAGTGTGAAAAGTACTACCTTACGGAGGAGGTGCAATTCAATACAACGTTCGAACAAAATGTGAATTTGAAATAGATCGAATTTATTTTACGAATTAACGTGGTTTTATTCAAATGACGCAATGCATGTTTCTAAATAGTGATTTATTTTATGCAAAAAATGTAGATTTTCCATTTATATTTGATTCGCGTTTTATTGAAGAGGGAATATTCTTTACGGATAAGAAATAGTTGAGATAGCTTTTTCGACGGAGGATTACTAATTTTGAGATTTCTTTTCAGGTTAAAGAATTTTCTTTAATTAATTAATTTAAAACAAATTAATTAAATTTCAATAAATGGATCATAATTTAACTTTATATTCGAGTTATAATTTCTACCATTTACGACAACGTATAAGCGATCCAATACCAGTTTTTGGGCGCTGTGGGGTGCTAATTCTTCCTCACGCGTAATCGACTCTCGAATCCTTTTAAATCGAATCTTTGTTAAACGTAGACCGATTTTTATCTAAAAATTATTTTTCTTAAAATTATTTTAAAAGACGATTTTATGTATTTGACTTGCATAACCCAAAGGTCGATGGCGACTCCTTTCAATTTTATTCAAATTAATTTTCATAACTGTTTTTTTAAATAATACATAATTGTTTTTCAAAATAGTTATGACAACCTTTAAACTGTAAAGTTCTTAAGTTATAGTGCTTCTAGTTCTTTGATCGTAGATCCCAATTGTCAAAGCATGACACGTCTAATGGAGAGAAATATATCTCAACCGAATAACAATCAGATATTGAAAGATGTAAATTAAGATTATTTGGATTGGCATTTAATTTGATTTTCAAGACTTTGGGCTGATTCTATGCAGATCTAAACTAAAGGATTGAAAAGGGAGAGAAAAAAATTACATTTGACATTGATATCAACACAAATGGTGAATGGAGCACGACGACCTATGACAGTGATGATATCAATACTATATTTGTGGAGTTTAGGTTGTTTCCGATTAAACGAACAATGGATTCATATTCGTAAAGTGAGAATTTTGGTAGGATGTTTTGAGACTCATTGGCCTCTAACGATGATAGCCATAATGGTTACTAGTGCGATGATTGAATTCTGGGTTGTTTTAGGTCGAGAGATAGAAAAAGAGATGAGGAAGATGAAGAAAGAAAATAAATAAAATAGTAGTGTTTTATGGGGAACCAAAATGTTATTTTGGACTAATTTTATTTTATGTAGGGACCCAAAACGATGTTTTTTGGATTACCATGTCATTACGCCATTAATTATTTAATAATGGAAATACAAAAACAAGAACAATTTGAAAGTTTTTAAACTTCAGTTTCAAAAATAGAAGTGAAGAAATAGTTGATAGGAAAAATTGTAATTTACCCAAATAATAAATCAAAGGCGGGAGAAAGAAAGAATCAAGTGGGTGCGCCACACTGTGAACAGTTTTCATTGAAAACTATGTGGAGCCCACAGGTGCTTGATATCCTCCCAGCCGACGTGTAATTATTCAGAAATAATAAGAAATGATTAGAAAATAGTGAGAAAAGGCTGCAATTCAGTTCTGACGTTCTTGGTCTGGGAATCTAAAGTAGGACCCACGCGTATCCTCACAGCCAATGGGAAGATGAAACGTGGAGGATTCTAGCTATAAAAAAAAAGCAGGGGCCGCCCTTACCCTACCCGTCTTTTACAAACGAGCGAGAGCAAAAATATAGTATTTTCTTCTTCTTGAAAGTACTTACCTCCGTTGTGGGACACACGCTCGCCCATTCTTTCAAGGACCCCGCCCACTGTTTTTACTATCCTTTTTATTGCGTGGGAATCACCGCCCATATTTTTACATAAGATTTTCGAATATTTTACGACTAAAATAAGGGGAAAGTGTATACTATTTTCTTGAAATCCATTCATTTACCATAAGTTACTTGAGATTTAAATTTTTAAAAGATGAAATCTGTTTATAAATGGAATTTGCTTGAAATGCAGTAAAAAAAATAAATTACTCGAATGAACAGGAAAAAATCACATATTCACCTTTTTACTTTTAATATACGGGGATATTCATTTTATCGTGTATATAAGATATTTTCTTTTAAAATTAATGTTAGAAGAAATTAAATTAAAATTCAGTTTGTACTATTCAATTATATAATATCTCTAATTTGAATGTGTAAGTAAGATATTTATAATGAATTTTACTTTATTATTTTATTAGATTTTTTTATTCTATTGAAATAAATATTCAAATAGAGATATGATAATTTCAAAATTTCTACTATGAGGATTTAATTTTTTTAAAACAGTCAGATAAGGTTTGATATTTTGAAATTTGTTCAAATAAAGCCTACGCCACCTTCTACTGAGAGTGGTGAACGCATATATATATTTTGACATAACCACAAATTTGCCCACAACTTTTATAACTTATCAATCTGACCAATCTGTTTCCCTTCAGTTGGCCTTCATCGCAGCTTGTCTTCTCCATTTATCTACTAAATTCAAATCCAGAAAAAGAGAAAATCTTCTAGTGAAAGTATTCAAGAACCTAACATCCCAACATCAGAAGTTAATATCCACAAAGTCTTGTATCGTTATATTTAATTTTGATTTAGTTGTCTAGACTTTGGTCTTAGTATTAATCATTATGGAAAAAGCAACCTATCATGTCTACAATCTTGATGCTTGCATCAATCAAGATCAAAGAGTCGAGAAAATGCGTGACCTCAAATTCTCCTTATTTTCTTTTCATCTTTCATCATTTTCAGAATTGAGGTCATCATTGGCATTGAAGCGATAAATCACGGCCATGGAGAATAGTTACAGAGTTGCATGAGATTAAAGCAGTTGGATGTTTGAACAAATCATGCTACAATAGTACAGAAAAATGAAAATGTCAATTCTTTTATAGTTCATAAAAGAAACCAATAAAGTTTAGAATAATGATTTGTATTTATTAATGCAAAATGGTATAGAAACTGAAAAATGAATAAAGGAATCCGACCGTCCTAATAAATCAACAAAAAGGAAACTGAAAAACCCCATCGCAACCGACATTCCAAATCCTTGCTATAGAAACTGCGAGTCCATGAACGAACCAACAAGAATCTCTAAAACAAGATCGAGCCTCTTCATGCATGTCCTACTTAAACCCGTTGATGGCTAAGGGGGGGTCGAGCCACCTCCGCCACTTGGATGAGAACTCTCGACGGAGCATCCTCAACCCAGAACATATCCTCCTCTTCCAAAGACGTTTCCGTTGTCAGCAGGTGCATCGCTTGATTGTATATTTACCATAAATAATATCTAAATTATCATTATAATATATTAAAATAAAGCCTCAAATAAGGTCAAATGGTTTTAAACATGTCATGGAATAGGATTTCAAATTTTAAAAATAAAAAAATGTGGAAAATAAAATAAACATAAAAACACGTGTTGAAATTGTGGTTGGTGGATATAAGTTTTAAATGTTGCCCAGCCCTCCCATCATATGAGATCGGGTTTATATATATATGTATATCATTTAATATACAAACCTAATATTATTTGACAGGTTCTTTACTATTTGGTTAATAGTTTAATAGGTCCATAAGTAACTTGTTAGTGATCAGATACTGAAATTTTGAAGAAATTTAAACATGTTGAAATTTGAATAACTAAGGAGCAAACGAGGAAAACGAACTTATAAAAAAAAAAAAGATATTTTCTCCAATGTTTTGATACATAATGAACATCATACTCTTCTTTTATATATAATTAACAGTTTTTTAGTAGCATGGAGGTGATTATAATATAGTATTGAGGATGATAATTTAATTTGAAATCGATGGGTCCTAATCCGATCTACCCCAATAAGATCGGTTTTTAAAAAAAAAAAGATTCGGGTTGTGTTTTATATATGGTGAGGTTGGGTCGGATCGGATTCGAGTGGAGTGTGAAAAACCTCCGACCCGACCCAAAGCAATAGAGTAATTTTTCATATTGATTTATGAATAATTGCTATAATACCTCATCTCTCTTAAATTAAGTCCTCAATTTATGTTGGATGAGATCGGATTGAGTTTGTACTTTATACTCTAAAAAATCAGGTTGTGTCTGATTCATTTTATATATATTTTTCTGGTCGGATCAGATCGAGTGGAAGATATATATTCTTGGGTCGAGTCGAGTTCGACTGGAGGGTATATATTTTTTGGGTTGGGTTATATTGATCAAAATCTTGACCCAACCAGACCCGTTGTCATCTTTAGATATCTATTCAGAGTTTTTCTTAGCTATTAGCAACGCACACACACCTTACAGATGCAATTGTTCGAACTCAAGACTTTAAGAAAAACAACAACATTCTCTTTAACCACTAAAACCATACAATGGATTCATATAATTAAAAGTTAAAATACTCAAGTGGTTGTGTTCACGTAAATAAAATAATAAAATTCATTCTATCCTTTATTATTGATTAATAGCTAATTAAACAAATGAATGTGACCAATAATAAATTGAAGAACAATTTATGAGTACAACACACATTAATAATAGAAATTGGAACGTATGAAATGTTTTTCTAAAGAAAAAATTATGTAAATAACTAAACAGGATAAATCGAGATATTATCACATAATTAACCGTTAAATACATTTTAGAAAAAAATAATAATAGATTATATGTCAATCAACTATGAAGGATAAATATAATTAATAATAGATTACAATGATATATTGACAATTTATTTTATCATAATTTAAACATGATATACATGAGATTATTATAATTGTATTTTAATACAATAATCTAAAAAAAGTTAATTTGTTTATATAAATTCAGAAAAATATTTGTGTTAAATTTATTTCAACTAAAAAATATACGCAATAATAATATATTAAAACGTGGCGTATTTGCGAAAGAAATAAATAATGGAAGGGTAGTTTGACAAGATAAACACACTAAAGACAAATAAATACACAGAGAAAAGGGGTTAACTCTGTTTTGGATATGTCATTGCCCCCTCCGTACATCTTTTACTCGCAAGCCCTCTCTTTTCCTCGCAGTTTCAGGCTCTCAGCTTCTATTTCTCTGTGACTAACTATCTATGTCTTTGTACTCTCGTTTTAGCTTTTCTGAACGGGTTTTTGGCAATTTGGGTTTTGTTTCCAAGCTTTAAAAACAGGGGTTAAACTTGAAAAAGATTGCAACTTTGGCTTTGCGATCTCTGTTTTTGCTCTGGTTTCTCGTCTGGTTCGTTTCGTTTCGTTTGCTTATCTTATAAATGACCATGGAGGAGAACATGGGTGGTTCCAATGGTGACCGGTTTCCTGTTGGCATGCGTGTTTTAGCAGTTGATGATGACCCTATTTGCCTCAAAGTTTTGGAAAATCTGCTTCGTAAATGCCAGTACGAAGGTTAGGCGTTCGTTTTCTTTAGAACTTCTAGTGAAATTTTCTTGTTACTGCGAAAGGCTTTGTTTTGGAACTTGAAAGTTGCTCCCAAGTTCATCTGATAAGTTACCTGTTTAATTTTTTGTTATGTAGTTCTCAATCTTCAATTCAAAGTTTTGTTCATCATTTTCTCGAAACTTCAGATAAATCTCCATGGCCTGCCCACACTTCACTGTTTTATTAGGATTTGCAGTGTTTATTTGTTTTGGATCTTTATAATTGTTGGATTCAAGTACTTTTTAACATTTCCTTTTTGGGGTTTTTCTTTTCTGCAGTTATTACAACCAATCAAGCGATTAAGGCTCTAAAAATGTTGAGGGAAAACAAAAACAGATATGATATGGTTATTAGTGATGTTAATATGCCAGATATGGATGGGTTTAAGCTTCTTGAGCTTGTGGGGCTTGAAATGGACCTACCTGTAATAAGTAAGCATTAATCCTTCTTCTTCTTTGTTTCAATTAATGGCGTTGAATCAAATTATATTCATTTGTTTTTGCTGTCTTCCAAGTTCCAACCCCTTTTCTTTTGCATTTTTGTGGTATGAATGAACTTTCTCATCTTTTTTGTGTGTGATTATCTGTTAACTTAAAAGGGTTAGTAAATTCGAGAAATAGATTCGAGTTGTTTCGGAACGATTTACCATAATTTCTTTCTCTTAATGAATGCCAGTGTTGTCAGCGCATAGCGATACCAAGCTTGTAATGAAGGGGATTACGCATGGTGCTTGTGACTACTTATTGAAGCCTGTTCGAATTGAGGAGCTAAAAAACATATGGCAACATGTGGTCAGAAGAAAGAAACCTGACTCTAAGGATCAAATCACGACCCCAAATCAAGATAAGGCTTGGGGAGGAACCGGAGAAGTTGGTCAAACATCGGCGTATAGTTCAGACCAAAAAGGCAATAAGAAGCGAAAAGACCAAAGTGAAGATGAGGAAGAAGAGGGTGAAGATAACGGACATGAGAATGAGGACCCCTCAAATCAGAAGAAGCCCCGAGTTGTTTGGTCCGTAGATTTGCACAGGAAATTTGTTGCAGCCGTCAACCACTTGGGTCTTGACAGTGAGTTTTCTGTTGTTGAGATTAGTGTATAATGTTCTGGCATTGCCTAACTGCATCTTTGACTTTGGTTTTCATTTTTTTTCTCTTTATTCAAATGCAGAGGCTGTTCCAAAGAAAATCCTTGACCTCATGAATGTTGAAGGGATCACGAGAGAAAATGTCGCTAGCCATCTACAGGTAAACTCCTTTCCTTTGTATCCTTTACTTCTGCATCTTGATTTCTATATATTGCCTCTTTAAGCTTACCTTTTATGTTGTTTTGCAGAAATATAGGCTTTACCTGAGAAGACTCAGCAGTGTTGCAACACGGCAAGCAAACATGGTTGCTGCATTAGGCAGTAAAGATCCCTCTTACTTGCGTATGGGTTCACTGGATGGCTTTGGAGATTTTTGCACATTGCCTGGACCTGGAAGGCTTTCGAGTGCTTCTTTATCATCATATCAATCTGGTGGAATGTTTGGTAGACTGAACTCCTCAGCTGCTTTAAGCCTACATGGGATTTCTTCTGGTGTGATTCAACCAGGACATTCTCAAACCTTAAAGGGTTCCATCAATGATCTTGGAAAGATTCAGCCTGCCGTGTTACCAGCAAACCAGAATCAAAATGGAACTTTGTTTCCATGGATCCCGACTTCAACAGAGATCAACCCACTGTTACAGACCAAGTCCATTAATTGCTATGGAGAAAACAATCATGTCAACGAACCAAATGTTTTCGGTGTTACTGCTAGCTTCTCAGATGCTACTGTGACAGTTGGTAGCTCAAGCAATTCTCTGTCAACTGCTTCAGGTAACCCTTTGTTGTTACAAGCAAGCACGCAACAGTTGCAACATGCTGGAGCATTTGGAAATCAACCATCGCTTGATGTGGCATCACTGAATCAGGAATCTATTAACATGAGTATCCGTGGTTCTTCTAATTGTATAGATCATGGTAGAGGCAGTGAGAACTGGCAGGGCACTGTTCAATCATCAAACTTCCCATCAAATGAAGCTTTCGGTAATGAGAAATTACCGAAAAATAATTTGCAAGAAAGCGTTTATTGGACAAACTCTCAACCAGGTATAAGCCCTATCGATCTTTCTTCTTCCATGGAAAGTTCAGCACGATTGGAGGATTCTAGAGAAGACATGCTCTTCCAATCTGGTCTAAATAATGTCTTCATCCTGAATATAGATCACACTGCAAATAAACAATGGGGAGATTGGAGACACAATCATGATGGGAATTTAAACAATTCATTATGCTGGGTGAACTCGGTTTCTGCAACCGGGTCTATGATGGACCAAACCAATGCCGTTAGCAGTAAAACGATTGATGTTTCTTTGTTCGGCCAATTAAGTGGCGATTCTCCTTTTGTGGTTCAGCACCCCAAGGGTGAGAAATCATCTTTTGACACAGAATTGAGGTCCAGTGAAGACTTCCCCTTCGAGCGGTCAAAGCCACTGGATAGCTTCAGTCAAAATAATTATGAATCCTTGGAGGATATAATGTGTTCCATGATTAAACTGGTATGACAATAGAACTTCCTTTGCCTTTGTTGGTTACATTTTTATGCTTTCTTTTCCTTGTTTACGTGTCAGTGTTGAAACATGAAATTCTTTTAGCACAATATGAAAAATAGTTAGCTCACACAGTTGGGCATACAATAGATAAAGATTTATCGGCGTATTTTCATCCCCATGCTTATATTTTCCTTTACAACTTGAATATTGCAGTTGTGCTAAACTGTGAAATCTATGTATGATCAAGAATTGTGAAAATTGTTACATTTCTCCAAAAAGAACCAGGAATGGCATTCTTGTTAGCCGGAAGAATATGTTTTGTCTATAATAGTTCTCTGAGTTTGACTATTTAATTTCCTTGAAATGCAATACACAAGAAAAACGATTGGATTGAACCTGGTTTACAGTTTTAGCCTCTGTAGGTGAATTCCCTTTATAGATTCTTTAAAATGACTGTATCCTTGATGCAGGAGCAAAATAATGAGACCGTATGGATGGATGGGGGGTTTGGATGTGATGCTGCATACCCCCTTGGATCTTGCATATGAGATAGTCGATGCAGATTCTCGGATAAAAGACGGTGCAAAAGGCATAAATCTATATCCTCTTTATGAGGAATCTTATCATTATGTAGTTTATTCTCCGTTGTTCTATCACTTTCTGCTTGATAGTGCTGTAAGCATCAACTTTCGTCATCTCATTTACATATTGATGAAATGGTAGCTTTAGAAAATTTAGAGTTTTCTCAGTGTCTTCATAAACATTCATATATATTTTTATTGGATAGCCAGAGCCATTACAATAGCAAAGTTGCATTCCCTTACGTAAGAATAAAACTACACAACCTATTATAAAGTGTTAAAAAGGCATATGACAATATTACACAGCTGGATCCAAGAGAATCAAATTTCATATACAGAAATTCTGATCTGTCATAATCAGCTTTCTCAATGCCTTATCAAATATAGACAAAGATAACAGAACTTGGGATCATTCAACAATGTTGCCAATGAAGGTTAATGATTGCTGAGGCACCAATCCTTTGTTAACCAGCTAAATGATAATGATGTTAGAATTAACTTTTTTTAAGCATCAGGTCGGTCGGTCAAGCTCAACAAGCTGAGCCATTCTTTCAACAGCTCTCTTCCTTATAAATATTCCCCACCTTAAAGCAGCTTTCAACTTAAGCCACCCGACTACCGCTTTCCCCGATCCTTTGCCGTGTTCATGTGCATACGGATAAGGGTGGTCCATTTGATGATCATAAGGGATGGTGTATGTAAAAGGAGATTCATCCGAATGAACAAAACCAGCTCCCATACCAAAACCTGCACCAAAAGTCTTCAGAAGTCTTTGCATGTCATCGGTTGCCAACATTTCCATACTCCTACGCCGGATTTCCTCAGCCAAGAAATCTTCAAATCCATGCCCGTTTCTTGGCGGAGACCAATCTCCCGCTCCTCCAATTGGCATGTAATTTATGGTGGCACTAAGGAACATTGCTTTCTGATTATTCATTGTCATTACTGCATTCTGATCAGACCTTCCAAATGGAAATTCAATCAACTGATGGACTGTTTGGTGGGTATTATTATTCTGACACTGTGGACTTGTCTCTGAGGTAATATACTGCTGCTGCCTACTCTTCTGAGCAGTTGTGGTGTAGTAATCCGCATTGAAGTTGTTCTCATTTACCGGTGCTGTCGACGGGTTCACTCCCTTTGTACTTGCAAGGGTGTTGAGAACCTTGTTGTCATATACTATAACTTGATGCCAATTTTCATATGCTCTCTTCACCAGGGAATCAACAAAAAGCTGTAGGCAAAAGTTCATGTCAATTAGTCATATTATTCTTGCTAGCAGTTTGTTTTTCGGCTTTCTCATTTCTTCAGAAATTGCTAACGGAAGAAAATTTAACCTTTTGATTGTGGTTAAGTGATTCCAAAGATAGGAACTGCCCATCAGCAATGAGCCCTCTGAGTTCATAAATGTGATTGAAAACAACACCAGCGCTGTGTGTTTGATCAGTGTAGTAAACATGATGCTTTCCTCCTAAGACACAGGTCTTAGCATACTCCACTGTGTTCTTCCACATTCTATGACATTCCACTTCCCAGGATCTATATCAAGACATCAAAAAATGTAGAGGTAAAATCGAGGCTATATGAAGATGCTTGAGAGTGGAAAACAGATATCTGTTGGAAACAATATCACTTACATTTCTCAACTTTTGCGTATCCCGAACAAGAAGTCGAAGAAAATCTTCGACTGTTACGATATCAGCTTTTAACAACTTCTAATGTAATGCTCCATCTTTGGCAGTTCTGTCCAATCTCCACACTTCATCATGCAATGCAAGTGGATAGTGTTTCTTATACACTGCAAGTAAACAATAATGCAAGCCAAAGTATGAAAAGAACTGCAGAAGGATTCAAGCCAAATGCAAGACCAGTATAAGGTTTTTTGTACTTGGAAACTAACATTCTCCCCTATGATCTTTAACAGAAAACCCCTCCGTTTTAGCTTCACGAACACGGATCTCTTTGCAATATCCGGGAGCAACCTTCAAACCAAGCCTGAATTTTTACTCCTAATCCAGCTTGAATTATCGGTAAATGTTAGATCTCCTAGTGTTCCAACTCCTTCACTGAGGGTTACTTGTAGTTCCCCACTCAGGAGTGGCTGTTCCCGTCGCGCTCTTTAACTTCATAGCTCCCAAGCTGTTCTTTAGTCCAGTCTTCATCAGCTTCTTCGTTGAAGTCACCTTCAAGCACCACAACATCGAGTTTGAGTGATGATTCTGGTCCAGTTTGAACCACAGTCCCTGAGATCGCATCGAGTAAGACGACATGGATGGCGGCTCCTTGCTCACCCTCAACCTTCCCTCCTGTGAATAGGTGAGGCGACATTCTTGTCATGAAATGAAGCTGTAGATTTCTTCCATCTGCGCTCTGTATCCGTGGCGGTGAACTCCTGTTACAGTTAGAACATGAACTCGTTAGTACAATACGACAACCCTTTGTCTGTTTAAGGTAACGTTCCTAGTATGTTTTAATGTCCAAATATTGGGTGTAGAAAAGCAAACCTCGCAGTCAATTTACCATTCCCTATTCTTGTCAAAGCCCGCTCCACTTCCTCACTGACCTGTAATTCATTCAGGATGTAGAATCAGTAGAAGCTCACTCCTGATAGAGAACTAAAAAACTATACTTATCATCAACACACTAGCCCATATGACAAAACATGTATGCTTAATTATTTTGAAGCTTTTCATATACTTAAAAGAACCATTACCCTCGTATCCATATTCGAATATGTGCAGCACCATGTGTCGAATTCGAACACTTGATGGCATAAAGCCAAAACTTTAGCTGCTCACGGTTGCTCTAACCTAACTGCCATTAGCACAGTTTTTGGACTATAGTAGCAGAAATGAAGGAGAATACAGAGTTTATACTCTTGATGATGAATTCTATAATAAAAATAGATCACATTGAGCTATTTTCATCCATTTGGGGATCTATCAAGCTCTGTTTTAACTCCAAATATATAATATGGTAAGATTAAACGAAAGAGAGCTTATTATCAAGAAATTTTACATAAGTTGCAGCCATTGTTGCTCAGAGCTGGCAAAAATGAAAGCAACAAATATACTCTTGAGAGCACAAGAAACAAATAGAGACAACTAAGAAGGGATGGAAGCAACATTGGACTCACAATTCTGCGAAACAATGGCTCCAAAGATGAGCAAAGTCGTTGCATACTATTCACCTTCAGAGCTTCCACAATTACACTACATATATGGATACTATCAACAAGAATGGAATCGCAGAAAATTCAACATTCAACACTTGCATATGTTTATATAAACCATGTTAAGCAAATTCATCAAATTCATTTACAGGAATGAAAGCAACAAATATACTCTTGTTCCTTGAGTTCGCCATTAGGAGAAAAGAAAAGAAGATTAAAAAAGGAAACTGTTTAGAACATGAGTTTCCTAAACCGAGGTCCAAACTCCACAGATAAGCGACAGAAGATGTGGTTATCGGACAGTGTTGTTAGGGTACATCTGGATTTGTAATATTTTATTTATGTCTGGAGATCAATTTTATAATGTAATAAAAAGGACTTGTTTAGTTTATACATATAATTGAAGAAAAAACGCAATTGTGTATTGAAAGTTTTTGTTTTGTTCACAAGAAACATTGAAAGTTTTGAAACCGCGTGTGTTTTTTTTTGTCTTTCGTTCTTATTGAAAGTCAATGGTTGATCCACGTATTCATTGCTGCCCATGATTATTTTGTTGTTTGGTTGGTCAGAAAATGATCAAGATAAACAGAAAATCCTGGAGAATTTGACCAAATTCATGGTCCTTTGCTTTGCTGGTATCTAGAAAAAAATATTAAAATTCAACCTTGTAATAGAATTATATTTTTGGGTAAGATTCATTATTTTGAGTTCTTTTAAGGTTACCGACTCTCGAACCACGTGAAGATTATAGTGACAACCACCTAACATTGACGACAAGGGAAGAGATGGTCAAATGTTTTTCCTTTTGCGTCGGTCGACGCCTTTTAGGACAGTTAAAGTTAAGGGTAAATTTTTAACGTTTAAAGTTTATACAATCTATGTTGAACAGCAAAAGGTGCTAAGGAGGTTGGTGAATCTAGAAGTTGATGTTGTTTGTCTCATGGAAACTCGAATTAGAAGAATTAACTATGCCTAAATTTTGTACAGTTTTTTCTATTGACTGGAACTTGGTTGCTAATTATGATTTTGCTGATGGGAGTAGGATATGGATTTTGTGGAAGAAGCAGCTAGATTTTACTGTCTTGAGGGGCAGTGATCAAGCTCTCAGTATTGTAGGAACTATAAATGGTCATAGGACAGTGATCACTGCTGTCTATGGCAGTAATAGTAGTTTGACTAAGAGACGGATGTGGGAACATTTAAAAGATTTAGAGGGTGAGGTTGGTCATTCTTCTTGGTTGATTGGTGGTGATTTCAATGTTATAGTTAGAGCAAATGAAAGTTATGATTTTGAACTTTTGGGTATGCATAGCTCTTCTGATATGGAGGATCTTCAAGGCTGCTTAGAGGACTTGGATCTTATGGATCACCATTTCCTTGGGCCTATTTTTACTTGGTCTAACAGGCAGGAAAGTGGTTATTTGGCTCGCAAATTGGATAGGGTTTTAATTAATGCTCAATGGTTGCTTTATTTCCCTGACTCGTTTGTGAATTTAAGGCACAGGTAGTCTCTGATCACTACCTTGATGTTGTATGGACTCGGAATGATGTTGTAACACCCCAACCCGTACCCGACCTAGATACGAGTCCGAGATGTCACATTGACATTTTCAAAACCTTTATTCTTGTAAAATAATTGAACATTTGAATTTATATTAAGAAAATACGATCATATATTGTTCAATTGTATTTGGTATAAAATTTTGAAAATAAAAGCGTATTTATGAACAGTAAAATACGGCATGAACAATACCGTATGAACAATACCCAAATGTTAAAATTTCCATATTACAAATAGAAAACCAATACCATTTACATATATATATGCGTTTCAAAACTCGATCAAAGTGTATCCAATACAAATCCTTTTAATTATTACATGCCAACTAAATACTTTCTAAAAAAATACATGTAATTCGAT